ATCAGTGTGGGTGGTAGTGGAACCAGTGGCAGGATATCCGTCGCCAAACCGGCACGACTGCCTTGCGACTGCCTCGTGTCTCCCCTAATAAGGATGGCGACAGTCCCCTTGTTCGGTAGAAGCCACTTGTCAACCGCGATGTATGTCCTGCCACAAGTCCTGGATAGCAGACGAAATGAAAGTAGATGGGAAAATCAAGTATCTTCATTCTCTATGTGTTAATAGTTTACGTAAATTTTTTAATACATTTAACGTTGTAACAATGGACAGGTTTACTTAATAATGTAATTCCAATATTGATATAATTTCTACGTGTTTTAAATGCGATAAAAATCTGTAATTCGTCTCTTGATAGGCCTAGATAATATTTAATTTCATTGGAAGAGCTAAGCTTTTAGATAATACAATAACTGTCTCTATGTATGTATTTTATATGAGAAATCTGTACTCTGGGATAGTTATAGTGACAATTATAAGTCTTTGAGTGCGACAGTGAACGTTGATTTCTTGACGTTTTGAATACGAGCGATGGTGGTACGATGGTGCGACGCCATGTCTGCCACGGAGGTCATCGACCCCACCGCCTGCCAACTCGATACGGCCCGCTTTTATACAAACCTCGCTGCCAATAATACTTTGATGCTGTGTTTTATATCAAAGATGTTTTATTGCCAGTAACTTTGACCATGAGGACTCCAGACTCGTAAAATTCTACGGATCCAGTTTCTTCACGGGCTAATTTTAAGTATACTTTAGAGATGGATTGCCAGAGATATTTTTATTACTATACGAGTACTTTAATTTTTGATACTTTACTCAACATTAAACGTCAGAATAGAGATGAAAGTTTCTTGAGAAGTATCAAAAAATAGGTATCTTCGTAAATCTACGTTGATACATATGATCAGCGATTGCCTTATGTAACTCACGTACATTATTACATAACATTACTGTATTGTTATCTTGAAGTGAGTTAATTTGTGAGCAATGACGTTATCTTAAAGTAATATTTGCGTTTTTGTACGCGCTGAAGATTTGTTTTTGTCATGTTTAAATGTTTTGTTGTCAAGGCCAGGTTAAGCAAGATCTTGAACCAAAACTAAGAATAGAAATTAATATTTACTCGGGAGACTGCACAAAAATCATCTCGCCATAATTCATCTTCCTTATCCTAATCCCGTAGGGTCGGCAACAGTTTTTTGTCCTCCATATAACTATTATACGTCATCTCAGTCATCACTCCCGTTTTGATCATGTCACCTTTTACGCAATCCATCTCTTTCTAGGTCTACCTCTACCGGTGTACCCTTCCACTCTCATAATTAACGTTATACTTGGTACATACGATTCATCTACATGACATGCCCATACCATGCTTATAATCTCGTCATAAGTAAATGAAAAATATGATTTGTAAGACATGGAACAATAACTGCCATGTAGACAAGAATCCCTTCTGAATTTCCATATTTTCCTTGTTGGGATGAATAAATTTTGTGGATTTATTTATGTCTTGAACGTTAGTTTTTATTATTATATAAAGGAGATCTCGGCCTTGGTTTTTAAATAAGTTGATTTCCCATACGATAATACCGATTGTTAACAATCCTTTGTTTCTTTTGTGGAAAATTGTTAATGCGTGCGAATCCATTGTTTTAAGGCTCGTTGAAACTTTTCTTATTGCACTCAAGATGTGTCACTTTTTCTTTTAAATGTATTTTTTAATTCTTTCTTAATGAAATATTTTTATTATAAAAAAACTAGCTTTCGCCCGCGACTCCGTCCGCGTGGATTTAAAAAAAAAACAAAAGTGAGTAGCCTATGTGTTCTTCCAAACCAAATTTCATCGATATCCGTTCAGCCGTTTAGGCTACAAACTCTAACAAACATCCATCCATCTATCTAAACTTTCGCATTTATAATATTAGTTAGATAATAAACAGCACGAGTTTAAAATGTTGCGTTACTTATAATTATAAAATTAAATGTCCTATCTATTAGAGTACACGAGACCAAGTGAAAATATTTTTTTTAATTAGTCACTCCTTAATTACTTTAGGGACGTGGTTTTAATATTCACAAAGTAAAAAATTATTTAGCATTTTATGACATGCACGTATAAATTATTTATTAAACTTTAAATTTTATTACAGACTAGCTGTTTCCGTCCGCAAATCTGTATGAAATTATAGAAACTTTTTTTATTGTTTACATTTATCAAATTCTAAATTGCAAATGTCAAACCAGTTACCATAATAACCTTGTTTCCTTAATGTTGGCAACTTGTAGTTTATGGTCGCTTTCCCACATCAAGGTATTCTTCAATTTATTAAACCCCTAAGTTTAATAGTGTGAAAATGTATACCATAAAGCGTATCGTAAGTATAGGGCTTTTTGTTAAAGAAAGAATTATTCCAACATATGCTGTGATTGCTGACATCCGATGCGACGAAGTAGTGTTTGTTTACGCTTTATTATATTACTATAGATAGATGTCTCTTTTAAGAAAGACAAATTGAGTATCACTCTTACAAGAAATGATAAAAATCATTTTGTCTGCTCTACATGTACTCTAATCTTTATATTTACATACATATTTATGATAAAGGCGCGGTTTATTGTATCGAATGGATATTGGCCATAGCGTATTAGCAAGCACTAGACTTGATAGTGTATCTAGGTCGCAATATCGGCAGTGCGCATGCCCTGATCCTACCATTGCTTAGCGAGTAAGCGAATATTACATTGATTTGCAAATTAAAACCTATTTCCATATAAACAAAAGCCTTGCTTTGTAACTTGGATTAGCATTATATATAATACTTTTTATTTATAATGGTAATATTATCGTTAGTGTAACTCTAATGCTTTTACGCCGAAGGTCTCCTTAGTGATCATTAAAAGAATCTAAAGATTGATTTTTTTATTTCAGTAACTATCAGAAAGCGAAGATAGTTTTCATTGGTACGATGCAATATATTAAACATTTTAACAAAATATAAACATGTAGGTTTTAATTGTATGGTCACCGTCGACCTTCTCGCGAGTAAACATTGTAGGCAAGGTCTTACGTTGCCGGCCGGCGACAGTCATTTATTGCCGTCGCTATTTATATCTGTTTCAAACGATATGACGTTTGAACATAAGATTCATTTTATTGACCTTAGTGCGCTGTCTTCCAAATTAACTCACTACTTCACTGATAATTTTGCTTCTATCTTTACATGTTGCTCGAAAAGAGACATAAATTTGGAATTCTGGTTCAGACGAAACATTCAGTTTGCTAATGCATGCGAATCTTTAGACTCTATGGGTGAAAACAACCATTGTGACATGATTGAATCCAATTGAATGGGACCATTTACATGTTTCGTCCTTGTATATTAGCCGATTGTAATTAGAGTAAAAGGCGCAGTGACCACATTTTTATTCTCCTATCCATCATATTGTACGTTTTGTGAGTCACGGAACAGTGGCATCGTGAGCGGCATCACAATTTCATAGCAACAATGGTATTGTTTGCACGTAGCGGTGCTAATACGTCCGTAGACTATTTATGAGTTGCTTAGCGACCCTCTGCCATTATTATTGTGTTCATACTAATTGGTTTCACTATCGCTCTAAATTAGCTGGAATTGCGTAAAGCTTCCTGGTCCGTTCGAAAGTGATCTTAGTAAAACATGACTCTGTGTGTCATATTTAATGTCTCCAATTTTTAATGTCTACGTTTTTATAAGCAATAGTTTCGAATAGGTATGCCGACATAATTACACCCAGATAAGAACGAACGGACAGATAAAACTGTTTAAGTGTATCCTCATGGCTTTCGATTATTTCTCAGTCATTTGTGAGTATTCAAATCGTGGTGGCGTAACGTTTGTTTTCTCAGAAGGTAAAGAAAATCGATTGCTAAACCAGTAAACGTGCCTTAAGGGTATTTTGTGTAAGAACAAAAAACAGATATAGGTGCGATATTAACAATGTGTAATATCTAATCTTATCAAAAATGACGTCATGTGAAACGATTGTAGGTAAAGTGCATGTAACATTTTGGTGCGCGGTGGGGCGTTGCAGTGGGCAGTGTGTGTTGGAAACGAGACGTTTGCGTAATATTCTGTTAACCGGTTAAATTGTTTATTATTCAGCGTCGACTTCAAGGTGAATGTGCTATTTTGGGTCAACTCACCATATTCAGTGTTCACAATTTGTGTAAAGGTGACCGGTAGAATTGTTTATCTAATCGTGTGAATGTACACAGTTCTTGAGTTCTTTGTGACACTGATTGTTAGTTTTATCTAAGATCGATATATTCTTAGCTATAAATATTATTATTATTAGTGACAACCAGATAAGTGGCCGTAGGTGCCTTCTATAGGTGGGTAGCTTTTCCATCAGGTAAGGCTACCTGTGATAAAAAATAATTTATCCAAGTCTCGCAATGAAAAGTCTAATCAAATATGGTCTTAATCGCTTATAGCAAAGAATGGCCTAGCTCATCCATGAAAATGCACGAGTCACATGAATCTATAACTTTTACAAGTGTTCTTCTTATCGTGTGTTTCATATAGACCAATGTGGTTTGTAACAACCGCAATTTGTAATTATTTCGAGGAGAGCCTCAATAAATCATCTTTTCTTGTATAGCTTGCAAGATAAGTTTTATGACATAATTATATCCTACTTAGTGTCACTTAACGTTCATGTTTGTGATATGTTATTAGCTTCAAGTTATTTGCAATTAGGATTTTATAGAGAAATCTTGATATAAATCATTCAGAAAATAACCCTTAGTTTCTAGGATTAGGGGAGGTATAGAAACTTTATCTTAAAATTGATTAAAAGTGGAAAAGTTTATACGAATAACGTCTTTTTGCTGACTTGATATTATGTGAATGTTTCTGCTATGCGATCTCTGACTTAATTATCGAAGTAATCAAATATCTTTAAAGTCATTAAAAATTGTATTAATTGTTAATTTTATGTTTGTTTTTTGTGTACAGAGTGTTGAGCGTGGCGAGGCGCGGCGTTGTGCGGCAGTAGGTCGCGATGACGACCGACATCTCGGTGTCCCGCTGGGACCCGTCCATCGGCCATGGACAGGAGATCATCGACGAGTTCGAGTACGACGGCGGCAACTCATCATCGAGGCTCTACGAACGATCGCGCATTAAGGCGCTAGCAGGTATATGACATAATAATCAGCTAGTTTAGTCACATTTATTTCTTGTGACGAGAGCTGCAGCGGAATAAGCAGTTAAGATGTTCTAAGGTACAACTTCGCATATCTATCGACGAGTTGCTTGCTTAGATGTATTAAGGTGAAAGATGCAAAAGAGGAATGCCAAATGAAAATTTGTATTATTTGTCCACTTCTCTCGATAACAGGAATGTTTTGTGAAGCTTTTGTTTGAGGTTAATTTTGTTATAGGACATAGAGTATAAGTAAATGAAAAAAACATCATAGATATTCATACATATATGTATGTGTACTGTGTGTGTAATGAAATGGAATGCACATCCTTTGAGAGCACCCCCTTTTTTGTAGGATGCCTACATCTGTCTGGCTTGACTCGACGACGCGACGGTTATTTACTTGCCCGAGGCATACGACACACAATAGACTGCTATGGCACAATGATGCCATCTAACGTAATCAAATGTACTCTGTCTCAATATGTTCCATTAGAATTTACGTGTTAGATTAGATTCCTGCATTTTATGTACTCAAAAGCTGAAATAAGAATCGATATAACAAAATAAGGATTTAGTAGGATTACAAACGTAAAGTATAGCTTAACGTCGCGAATTCTAATGTCGAACAATTCAAAACTTTATATCAAGCGTAATACAGTTCCTATTGCGACCAATTCTCACAAAGGACTGTGGCTGTTCGAATGTATTAAGTTTTTTGGGCATGATCGACCGTGAACCTGGTCGCCACGATTAAATCCGACTGAACCAGAGAACTACAGTTCTTTGTATCCGGATGAGAAAACATTTCGTTTTCAGTGGTGCTAAACTTTGCGAAAAAATATTTTTAATAAAGCTAAATTACCGTTCCCTAATTTGATGTCTTGATAGAATTATCTTTATATTGGTGTTCCTCCACTGAGGTGTTTTGTCTACAAATTGTTCAATATTGTGCAATTAAAAAAATCAAGATGCAAATGAATTAAATACATTGGTTTGCTGTAGTATTTTCATTTGTTGTATATTGAAATTTAAGCAATGTGTTTGATAATCATATTACATAAATAATAACAACGAGTGATTTTATCAGACGACAAATTATACAAGTAACGTGACCTTTATATTGTGTGGTATATTGGACGATCTGTTTTATTATTACATTACTGTTCTAATAACAATGCTTATTAATAATAGCATGACTGTAATGAACCTCAGTCGTTATCGGTATTCGCAACCATAATTTCCGTTTTCCCATCAAATAGCAGTGGTAACAAACAATTTATTTACTACAACTAGGCGTAGTCATAGTAGTGATCGTTTATCTATTTATCGGACGCCGAATTTTTTTATCTGTATAACTTATCAGATAGTACGAGGCGCTCTCTCGCGTGCACGTTACACATCTTTGCGTTAACCGTCATCGATATGTTCGTGAACAATTTTGACATATATTTTGACGTTTTCTAGATTTATATTTTACATTTACACAATATTAATTAGTATCGATTCCTCAATAAGTTTACGGTTCGATCGAACCGGTCCTAAAGTTGTCGACATCTGGAGCGCACGTATCGAATATCCTCGTCCAGCGGGCAGTTGAATTTAGTCGCTCTAATTCTTCCCGTTCTTTCGCCTCGGAGCCGAGCGTCAGTCTCGCAGCGCTGGTGATATGACATCGACGGAGTGTTACGACCTTATAAAGAGGGGTGTCGATATAGAAGTGCCGGGGCTAGAGCTTTACTACGACAAAGTTGTGTCGGAGCTGAGAGGTTTGTTCTATCTCTCCTATTTGTTCGTCATTCAGTGTTAGTGATCATTAAATGTGGTCTAATGAGGTAAAAGTGTGCTTCCTTATAAGTGTTCACCAGTTTTCCTTGTCAAATTTGTTCGAGGATGTTTTAAAGTTTGTAAGTTTCGAATATTTGGATTGAAGTATTGGCGTTGTAAAAGGTAATGTTTTTTTGTTATTGCGAATGTTGAAGTGAAGGGCTCTCGGGCGATAAGGCTGGATAAGATTGCGTTCCGCTTGATAGCATTTAGGAATCTGATCTGGGTG